TTGAAGGATGTCAGGAGGGAGTGCAGAGTATCATGTCTGGGGGTGATGCAAAGGTTCCATATCTTAATAGTGGTGATTGACACAGGAGCATAAACGTTTTCAAAACTCATCTAACCATACACTTAAGATGGGCAAGTTTTATTTTATTGAAGTTGGAACTCACTGCAATGAGTAAAAATTGAGTCCTACCCCTGTGCTCTGGATGAAATAATGTGTCTCTAAGTGGGAGGAGAAGAGAGTGGAATGAAGAGGGTGATCTGGGAGACCTGGATAGGGGCACACCTGTCCCCTGTCCCCAAGACCAGGACAGAGTCCTGTAGAAATACTGGGGTCTGAGAATGCATTGTATCATTTCCTTACTTTCTGAAAAATTATCTTGGGAGGTGGAGATGTTTTCCTTTCCCACCCACCCTGACATGGTAGAGATTATACAAAACAAATTCATGTGTCCTAAGTGAGGGGTGGAGATTCCAAAGCTGTAAGCTCTTGGATTATAAAACCTGAGAGTTTTTTCTTTGAGTCTAGGAGTGCAGATGGTGAGGCAGTGAAAGGTGGGGTCTCCAGGCTGAGTGAGGGAAGGAATCATGGGCTCCCTGGCCCAGAGGGGACTGCATATCTCAGAAGAGAGCAGCTGGGAGGGTAAAATGATGAGTCCCACCCATGTCCTGTGCAGAGGGTGGGAATGGGGTTTTCCTCCGTGGAATGGGCTGGCTGAGAAATAAGAGCTAAGAGAAATAAAGCGGCGAAAAATCTACAGAACACAGAAAGTGTTTTCAAAAGCAGGGGCAGGATGGGCAAGCCCATCGGATGGTTGGAACTTCTAGACTCTGGCAAAATAGATCCTGTGCTCTATGGGGAAACATCAAAGAAGTTCTATAGAATGTTCTTCTCCAAAAAAGTTTAAAGGTGTTCTGTTCAGTTTCTAAAGGGTTACGCCCATCTCCAGAGCTACTATGAGGAATCCTCCTAGCAGAGTCAAGAGAAAGGTCACGTGCATTGGGCAATCTATTGCCGTGGGAGAGCCTCGGATAATTCGCAATGCCAGGCCTAACTCTCCCTAGCTTCTTGTCCAGAGAAGATCCTTATGTATTTCACAGATGGCTTTCCACAGATGAACCTGGGTGGGAAGCAGACCTGATGTCAAACTAAATAACACAACAATATCTTGCGTGTGCCAGACTTATCTCAATGGTCTCACTGCCAAAGAGCTTCACAGTGCGCTGATTAGAAAGAAAATAAGGGGCAAATTCATCAGATGACTCCTCGGGTTCCTAATACAAAAGTTTTAAATCCTTGCAGTGGTCAAGATGGAAAAAAAACAGGAAAATTTTATACTTATAAAAAATCTCTTAAGGTATTTATTATGGTCTAGATGTGAGGTTTCCCCCAAAAGCTCTTGTGTGAGACAATGCAAGAGAGCTTAGAGGTGAAATGATTGGGTTATGGGTCTTAACCAGTGCATTAATCTGCTGATATGAATTAACTGGGGTGTAACTGCAGGTAGGGAGGGTGTGGCTGGAGGAGGTGGGTCACTGGGATATATATTTTGTCCATGGTGTGGGGAGTTTGTCTCTGCTTCCTGATTGTCATGTCCTAAACTGCTTTCCTCTGCCACACCTTCTGTCCTGATGTCCTGTCTCACCTTAGGTACAGAGCAATAAAGTTGGCCATCTATGGACTGAAACCCCCAAAACCTGAGACCCAAACTTTCCTCCTCTAAAATTGTTCTTGTCAGGTCTTTTGGTCACAGCAGAAAAAAAAAACTGCCTTAAACAGTACTTGTATTTACCTCTTACAAAATATTATGAAAATTTGATAATTATGAAATTTGAGTCTTTTTTTGCTAGAAGCTTATGTTTATCCCAATTTTTAAAAAACATTTATTTATTTATTTATATGTGATGCTGAGAATCGAACCCAGTGCCCCAGGCATGTACCGCTGAGGCAGAAACCCCAGTCCCCCCCCCCCCCCCCCCGCCCCCATTTAGCCCAAATTTGAATGGAACTTGAAATTGACAAATGGTTGCAAATTCCTGGTCCCTTTGTCATCAACCCTCTGAATCTTTTTCAGTTTCTGGAGTCCTTGCCTCCTTTCCCCAGCAAGAACCGCTCACCAGGCTCCCTCCACCTGAGGTCTTCACCTGCAATAGGGCTGCCCCTTCTGCACCTGGCTCAGGCTCCTGGGGCACACAGCATGGACACTGAGCTCTACAGGACTCATGGAGGATTCAAAGTGCCCTATAACTCAACAGTGTGTCTGTCTGTCTGTCTGTCTGGGGGTGAGGGGTGGTACTGGGAGAGAAGGAGGTCAGACCCATTCATCTCTGAGACACCTGCCTGGTCCTGGGCATTCTTCTGGGCTGGTGGGAACATCTGCATGGGACCAGAGCAGAGGGACCCAGGACAAAGCATCTAAGTGTGGGTGTTTATAACCACCCAGAGCGATTCACCTCAGGAACCTGATGAGAGAGGAGGCACTATTCCTACCTTACAGACAGAGAAGCCGAGTCCCCTCTGCCTGGCAGCTGTACCCAGGGAGGAACAGGCAGGTAGGGCACTCGTGTGGGCTCTGCCTTCCTAGGTTCTTCTCAAGTTCTGAGGCTCAGGGTTGGGGGAAGACAGTACCCATATTCTCAACAGAGTGGGGTTCCAGAGGCAACTGGGGCCACCCAGGGATGTTTCCTCCATTCTCGGACAGTGCTCCAAAGGCCCACATTTCCTGGGCACCTCCCAGGGTGAGCTGAACCCCATTAGGGTCCAGTGGTACCTGGGAAGATCAACCCTTCCAGGACTGGGGACAGAACCTGAACCTCTCTCTGTGGCTTCTATTTTTGGGGACCCAACTGAACTCTCAACAGAACTGAAGGTCCACGGTTCGAGCAGTCTGCCCCCTCAGGAATCTGAGACCCCTCCCTGTGGAGGCTGTGGACTGGAGAGAGAAAGGGCGGCTCCACCCTCCCAGAGCTCACTGCCCTCTGGAAAGGGAGACCATACCAAAGAGCAAGTGAGAAGGACAGGAGACCTCAGAGGGCAGAGTGTGGGACACTGTGCCCCTCAGGCAAAAGCAGCAAGGCTCCGAGCAAAGGCGACCTTACACAGGCCCGCTCGCGGTCATGGCAGTCTCTGGCCAGCAGGGGGCAGGAGCAGCCTGTCCATCACCCGGGCCGGGTGTGCTGCCTCGGAGTCCCCTCCTGAGTGCTACAGAAGACCCCTGGCTCCGCTTCCGTGCGGTCAGAGGGCGACACCTACGTGAGCAGGAGTGCTGGGCTCCTGGTGCCACTGATTTCCCGGGAAATCCTAGAGCAGATCACCAAGATGCCCGTGCTCCTATCCTCAGTGTCAAAGGGGACAGTGGCAACTGCTTCACAAGACTTTGTGGAAATTAAATAAGATTGTGGGATGGCCTGGAGTTTCAAAGGCTTCATGTAATCCCTCTGGGTGTGGCTGGGACATTTGCATTTTAAAAATCATCCCCAGTTAAGTCTGAGGTGCAGACTGGTGTGGAAATTTGGAGTTAGTTGACCAGTAAACTCTAAATTACAAATGTGTTTTTACTCTTTTTCTTGAGGCCCCTTTTTTTCTACCTTGGGTCCGCAAAATTAAAATTCCCTCCTCTCTCTCCTCTGCATAATCTCTCAAATAGAAAATGTGGATTTCTCCCACAAACTGAACTTGAAGTGTTCAAACATTCACTCCTATGAGTTTTTGCACAAAGATTATCTGAACATTAGCTGACCCGTTGTGACAAGCGACCTCACACACCAGGGAAGACTGTCAAGATTCTCCAGTGCAGGAGAGAGCAGAGGTCCCGGGCCATGGTGTCTCAGTGGTCCCCTTCAATGGTATGGGGTCTTGGGTTCTTCGGGTTAGCTCTGCTGGACACCGGGGCCACAATGGATCAGGTCAGATACAACTAAGGTCATTAGTAGCTTCAACTTATTATTTCGTGTTTAATGACATTACACTCAGTGTTCCCTATAGCGTAGAGGGGAAACGGACTTGGTATCTAGTAATGTGTAGAGATTGTCCTGCATCTGAACTTACTCCCTGAAGAGACTATTAGACAGAAAATAATGTGGCATTCGGTACGTGGGGTTTAGTAGGTGCCATTGTTCCGGAGGCATGTTCCGGAGGCATGTTCCGGAGGCTTGTTTGGCAGCGATGCTTAGGGAAGCTGGCTGGGGCGGCGAGGCCTGGAAATGCCTTGCTCATGGTTCCTAGGGGTTGTGTGAGTCCACTCTATCTGAAAATTGCTGCAGGACACCTCGCCAGGGACTTTGAGAGCCAAGTGTGCCCTGTGCCATTTCAACCCCACCTCCTGGTCAGGAGGTCTCTGCTGTCCTTGGGGAACAGAGGGAAATAAGCCTTAGTCAGGTCTCAGGTACTCGGAGTCCTTTCCTGGGGGGCTGGAGGTGGGCCGAGGAAGCCACCTCTGGAAGGAGAGCTTGGAAGAGGCAGGGCAGCCTCATCTCTGGGGAGGAGGCTGGCCTCTGATACAGGGCGATGTGGGGACCTGAAGGGGGTCCCCAGAACACAGCTTCAGAGCTGGCTAGGCGGGGGTGAAGGAGTACCTCTGAACTCCCCCATGGTGGGCTCAGGAACGGACGTTTCTATCAGAGCTGATTCAACAGCTGAGGGAAGCAAGGCCCAGAGAACGCCAACGGCCTGTCCAAAGTCACTCAGCTGCTCAGGGCCACAGGAGGACGAGGACTAAGTGTCCTGCCTCCTGGCTGGGGGTCCCCTCAGGCCCTGCGGATGCTCCACTCAGGTTTACCTGATGCCCATCCGGGAACTTGCCCTGACCCCTCTGCTTTTCCTTAGGTCCCTGCGGCCTTAGGTTCCCCATCCAATGGAGCTCTGTGCTGCAGGGCCCCTGGCAGTGTTACCAAGGGCAGTGACAACTCTGGTCATTTCTTCTCTCTTGGCCCACCTCTCCCTCTGCCCAGGATCCTTGGGTTTCCATGATCTTGTTCCAGGGGCTCCCTGTGTCTAACCCCTACGCCACCCCGAGTTGGTGGGTTGAGGTGGGTCTTGCGCACAGTCTCCAGCCCCATGTTGGGTTCAGAGGCTCCTCTCCCCACCCCGGATCCTCCTATCTTTCTTCTCCTTCTTCTGCGACCAAGCTTCATTCTCCCTTCAGTCGGCTGTGGGCAGTTTCCTGGTGCGTCTGCTGTGTGGCCTGCTTGTGACCAGGGTCCTGATGGTGGCAGCCCCTGGTGGGCCTGAGCTGTAGAGCAGGGTGATGGGATCTGGGTTCACCTGGGAGGCGGTGGGCTGGTGTCAGCTGCTCCTCTGGGAGGGAGGGAGGGAGGGGCTGCACAGTAGACAGAGCCAGGGGTCACCCAGGTGGCGTAGTATCTATTGGAAATGGCATCAGCTTGACCCTGTTGTACCCTGTCTCTGCACACTCATCTGGTTGCCACCGTTCACCATTTTCTTTGAACTTCAAACTCATGCTCCTGGTTCATGTCCTCGCACAGCAGCTGGGGCAGCCAGGTTTGAGGTGGTATCCTGACCCCAGGATGCGCACGCGCATACCAGCACATACATCCTTACAGGTATTTCAGGTATCCATCCCCTCCGTCAGCGACCAGACCAGCATGCCTGGGAATCCGCCCCTGCACCAGCCCTTAAGGAGGGGAGAGTTGGAGCCCTAGAGCTCCCCACCAGGACTGTGCACCATTCTCTGTCCAGAAGGGAAAAGGAGCAGGTAGGTGGAAAAGGAAGATGGGATCTGGTGAGAAGGGGACATCATTGTAAGGAATAAAAAGGGACTGGGACTAAGAAGAGGTTCAGGTCAAAGAGGAGAGTTGGAAGACAGCCAGTGAATGGACACACTTCATATTCTGAATTCCTCCCCTCCTCTCCTTCAGCTCTCAGGGGTGGAACAAACCAGGAACAGCAGCAGGGGCTGCCTCAACTCCTGCCAAGCCCCTAGACCCTTGGGTTTGCCCTGCTGAGCCTGGGTTCTCTCACCTCTTCTTGCTCCTTGCTTTTTCACTTAGCATGAGAGTCTCCAGTTCCATCCACTTACTGGCAAATGCCATCATTTCATTCTTCTTTAAGGCTGAGTAATATTCCATTGTGTATATGTACCACGTTTTCTTTATCCATTTATCTGTTGATGAATTCATCTGTTAATCCATTCATCTGTTGGAACGCCTAGGTTGCTCCACAGCTTAGCTATTGTGAATTGAGCTACTATAAACATTGATATGGCTGTGTCACTGTAGTATGCTGATTTTAAGTCCTTTGGGTATAGACCAAGTAGTGGGATGGCTGAGTCAAATGGTGGTTCCATTCCCAGTTTCCTGAGGGATCTCCATACTGCTTTCCAGACTGGTTGCACCAATTTGCAGTCCGACCAGCAATGTGTGAGTGTGCCTTTCCCCCATATCCTTGCCAACATTTATTGTTCCTTGTATTCTTGATAATTGTCATTCTGCCTGAAGTGAGATGGAATCTCACTATAGTTTTAATTTGCATTTCTCTAATTGCTGGAGAGGTCGGAGTCTTCTTGTGCACATAGGAGAAGCCTTAAGTACCGAGTCCACCACTGTGGAGGCTCCTCCCCCAGAGCCAGGAACCCCCAGGTTGTCTGCCACAACCCCACATCCCCAAAGCCTGGATCTATCACCTGGGGACTCTCAGAACCCCCGTCCCACTTACACCTCTCAATGAGATCGAACTCAACTCACCAGTGTCACCTCCCCAGCCGCCCTCTCCTGCCCTCCTGTCAGGGTCTCCTGTTCTCTGTCAGCCAGAGCACAGCTGGTTGCCTGGTCACAGGAACATCGCGGCCAGCTCTGTTTCTCTTGCTCCCTTTAAAAGAAATATCCATACTTCATACCAGGTAAAAATGGAACATTTGACATTTCAAAAAATGACATGACTTTTAAAAATATCTGACAATGAAGGAAAGAATTTCCAATATATACTGCAGATAAAAGGGTTAATAGCTTTAGTACCTAAACATCTTTTTCTTATAATAATAATAATAATAATAATAATAATAATAATAATCTGGCAGGCATTTCAATCTCAACAAAGGCAAAGGGTGGCTCAAGGCCATGGTGCCCTTGGGAGGCTGAGGCAAGAGGATCGCAAGTGTGAGGGCACCCGGGCAACTTGTTGAGACCTTGTCTCAAAATACAAAACACAAAGGGCTGGGGACGTGGTTCCACAGCAGAACACTGAGTTTCATCCTCAGTACCATTAAAAAAAAAAGAAAAGAAAAAAGCCAAGGGGTAAGAGCAAGTAATTGATTATAGAATAAAGAATGAGTAACATGGATACATGTGTTCCATGTGGCTGAAAATCAAAGAGATGGAAAATGAAACGAGACCTTGCTGTTCAACCTTCAGTTCAAAGAAGATTCAAACCAACCATGATCCTCTGTCCTCGAGGGGTGGGGAAATGGCACTCTCATGTGTTTTTGGAAAAGCCACAGTTGATACCCTGTTCCTGGGGTCAAGGCGGTGATGAATTAGGAGCAGAGCAAAGAAAACAAACAAAAGAAGCTCCTCGCTTTTGAGCCAGCAGTTCTAAAGTGTTTTTCTGGGCAAGTAATTTGAGTGTGTGTGAGGACTGCTGTTGCTTTAAAAGTTACATAATCCGAGGGAAAACCAAAGCAGCCCTCCTCCACCACCCTCTGCCTTAGTCCCCATTCCCCCTCCCCCAAGGAATTCACTTCAAATCTTTTTATTTTTGGTACCAGGGGTTGAACTTGGGCACTCGACCACTGAGCCACATTTCCAGCCCTATTTTGTATTTTATTTAGAGACAGGGTCTCACGGAGTTGCTTAGGGCCTCGCCATTACTGAGGCTGGCTTTGAACTCAAAGCCTCCTGCCTCAGCCTTTGGAGCTGCTGGGATTATAGGTGTGCACCATCATGCCCAGCTCTGACGCATATATTCTTTTTTTAAAAAAATTATTTTGTACACTTGTAGATGGACAGCATACCTTTATTTTATTTATTTATGCGGTGCTGAGGATCGAACCCAGTGCCCCACACATGCAAGGCAAGTGCTCTGCCACTGAGCCACAACTCCATCCCCTGAGGCATATATTCTTTATCTCCTTTGTCTATCGTTATCTCCTTTCTGTTGTTAAGTAGTACTCCATTGTTTGGTGGCACCTGTTGGCATTTGGCTTGCTTTCAGTTTTGGTTATTAAAGGTTCTATGATCATTCTTGAACAAATGTCTGATGGGCATACATCATATTAGTGTGTAAGGTCTTTTCTGTGTTCCTCTCCTCTTCATATAAGGACACTAGTCATATTGGATTAGGGCCCACCCTAGGTGTCTTATTTTAGTTGCCTCTTTAAAGAAGATGTCTCAAAGACATTGAAATGAATCAGACATAACTTTCCTATGTCCATATATGAATGCACAAAAACTCCATGTGCAACCACAAGAATGAATGGTTGTACTCCATGTGTGTATAATATGTGAAAATACATTCTACTGTCGTATAGATCTAAAAAGAACAAATAAAATAAAAATAAAAAATTAAAGAACTTAATTAAAAACAGTCCTATTTTCAGGTACCAAGGTTAGATTTTGGACATTAATTTGGGAGGCGGGAAATAAAATCAGCCCATTTTTATGCCTTTTCCTTTTTCTTGGTGATTACTTAGAAATGGAATTTCTGGGCCATGGGGTAAAAGTATGTTGCACTTTATAAGAAACCACCAGATAGATTTCCAAAGTGGTACATCATTTTATACCCCAACCCCAGCGATGCCCGAGAGTTCTTGTTCCTTGACGTCCTTGCAAACGTTTGGCACGTGGTCTACCCGCATCCCCCCAGCCCTTTATATTTGATTTTGAGACAGGGTCTCACTGAGTTCCCAGGCTGGCCTTGAACTTGCCTCCTTCTTCCTCAGCCTCTTGAGTAGCTAGGATTACAGGTGTGCATCAACCACCTGCCTGGCCTGAGGATCTCTGTCTACTCCTGAAGATACAAAACTAATTTTAAGTCTTCTTTCTAAAAACTTTATAGCTTTAGCTTCATTTTAAGACCTATAAGGAATGTCTAAATTTTGTGGGTTGAGTTTTGTTTCTTTTCATATGGTTATCCAGTTGTTTCTGCACTATTTGTTGGAAAGAATTTTCTTTTCCATTGAATTGTTTTGGCACCTTTATTAAAAATAATTTAATAGGTGAGCCTGTTTTGACCTCTCACTTCCGTTCCATGTAACTACTTAGTTATCATTTATACTCTTCTTCTTTTTTTTTTTTTTGGCCTGAGGATTGAACTCAGGGGCACTTAACCACAGAGCCACATCCCCAGCCCTTTTGATATTTTATTTAGAGACAGGGTCTCACTGAGTTGCTTAGGGCCTTGCTGAGTTGCTGAGGCTGGCTTCGAACCTGTGATCCTTCTGCTTCAGCTTCCTGAGCTGCTGGGATTACAGGCGTGTGCCACCGTGCCCAGCTCTATGCTCTTATTTTTAAATCTTTGTTGCTTTATATTAAGTTTTTAGAATCAGGTAGTATGAGTCCTGACTTTGTCCTTTTTAAACAAACAAACAAAAACCATTTTAGCTCTTGGCTATTACATATCTGCCGCAGTCTGGCTGGGCACACAATAACCGAGCCGCCACACAGCCTTGTAGGTTCAAAACAGGAACTCCTTTATTCTCCGCACTCCCGTGATGGCCAGGCACGGCCAACCGGAAATCCCTCCTCCAGACCTTCCCCAACCAATGCAAACTCTCCAGGAATCTCGCGAGAACTCCAAAGTGGCGGGCTGAGGCGGACAGTAAAGGTCTAATATACAATTGAATCAATCCAGCATCATCTTAATGGCTCGCCTCTCAACCAATACTATTGGCAAAATGCCAGGGGCCATTCCGACTCGGCTGTGGCTCTCAGCACATATCCTTGCTTTTCAACTCAATTTTAGAATCAGATGAAATTTTTTGACAGTGTATTGAACTTGTAGATCACTGTGGGGAGAACAGGCATGTTAAAAATACTGAGTCTTGAAATTCATGAAGATGATATGCCTCTTCATTTATTTGGTTTCCTGGTTGATACTTTAAAGT